ATTTAATTAGACAGAAGTCTGGAGCGCCAAGCTACCCGTCGCAGGTACATCTGTTTATATAACATACGGTCAGAACACAATGAGGCTCAGAGCAGTGCTGCTGCTCGTGTTAATTCAGAGGAACACAGCAGTTGTTTTACCTGTTTAGTGAAAATCAGTCACACTTCTGTTGACCAAGTCAAAGAATTATCAAAGAGCATCCTCTGCAGTACACTTGTGTAGTCTAAAACAAAATGTGACGAATTCAAATTCACCTTTAAGGAGGTTGTTGTATTTGTAATTTTCCACTCAAAGACACCTCATTGACTTGCTTCAGAATCTAGAAGTGCATACCTCCACAAGGCCCAACAGTCCCCCCCATGAAACCATGTTGAAATTCATTAGATCCATTGTGCACACACACAATGTGAAATATCAGTGTCCTAAACATGCTGGATTTTTGCTATCAAGACCTAAAAATCATTCTCAGAGAAATCAACGAAAAATGCTAAATGCTAAATCTTGCTCTGCCTCCCCTTTTCAAGCATGAGGCTCGATCAGCTAACAGCTCTCACCTGCGCTGACTGATCCTCTCCCAGCCCCTTCACCTGCACAGATTGATTATGTTAGTCACAGCAACGGCCATCTGTGTGAACCCCCTTAAATATGATCATATGGTAATATACAGGAGATTTAAGAAAATCTGTATTTTTGATGCAAAGACAAGCTCAATGCAATTTTAAAGCAGAAAATGATTCAAATAATTTAAATAATTTTCCTCAACATTCCAGATTTTAGTACAATACAATACTGTATGACAGAGTGTAAGGGCAGAGGATGTTACACCTTGTACAGATTGTTTTATTGATTGAGTAATGCTAGACAAACACGCTTAGCTGAAAGTTCTGGTGTAATATTCTGTATTTTGAGTCCCTCCAAAGCGTGACCACCTCTGCACTATTTATTTCATAAGGCTGGGGGAGTGTTATTGCAAGGAGAAGCTTCCACACACGTCCATGTCTTGTGCGACCACACATCAGTGCTCTGGTTTAATCCTATTACACGTCCAGCACAAAGGAAGATAAGAGGTTTATGTGGGTGTTCCTCACAGACTCTTCCCTGGAGACTGCAGTAGCAAAGCTTCACTTCATTTAGTCGTTTTGATTCCGCTGCTGACGCTGAGTCCTCTTCCTGCCACTGCTTCTATTGTGGCATGTTGAAAACAAAGACATGCTGATAATAGGATTGCCTGTGAGGACACACTGATAATGAATGAAAATCAGGTGAATGATATGATCCAGTGACGGGTAATTTAGCAATATTCTACAATTGTGATACGACTCAAGTAATCATAAAGTCACGATCAACCATCATGATGATTCTGTGGGCTCAGACATTCGGAAGTGTGCACTGAATTATTTACACAACATACCTTGATAGATTCACATCAGCGTGGCCTAGAACTGGAGGTGAGGTGAGTCGGCCGCCGAGCTCCTCACAGACTGAAGCAACACATCAACATATCATGATAGTAGACAGGTCTCCCTCCAGCTTTACATGAAGTGAACAGCTTTTGACTGTTTGAGTAATCGATGTCATATTTATGAAAATTTCAATTCAAAAACTGATGTTGAATTATGGATGTGCACGTGTCACTGGGGCCGACTGTGCACGGCTACTGAAATGTATTCAGGATGAGAAGAACCAGGTATTTTTCCTCCAACGCACACAGAACTGACAGATCTGCTCCATCATCATCCATCCAGCAGCAGTCACACTCTGCAGATACGAAGTGATCGTGGATGGATAGTGCTAATCTGTCTAACAGGACTTAAAGCACCAACACAGGCACACTGCAGCCTCCGGAGCTCCAGCTGCTACGTGTCTACCTCTACTGAAGAGAACAGCAGCAGCCTCTTGCCCTGCTGCCCAGCTACGCTAAACATTAACATGCAGCCTGCTACTCTGTGCTCGCTGGCCTCTTGACCCGGAGGTGTGCGCAGGAAACAAGCAGATATTCAGTCAGATTTCTCGCTCCACTGATAACCCTCTTCAATACAGCATTTCTTTAAGTGCCCATGGTTGTCCTATATCTCCACGCTTCATGCAGCTCTGTGAACTGTACTTTTAGAAATATCTTACTCTGTCCTCCTGAGGCTAAAACAGTCTCATGGGGATCAAATGATTGATCATCAAATTAGAAATCCCTGGCATACAACATGGACATAGAGAATAAAATTAGACAGGGGTGAGGAAATGTAGAGCGACACAATTTTCATTATGAACTACAAATGGGATTACAATTCTGAGGAAAAAATGTAAGAAACTTTTGATAGTCTTTTTTAAAGTCGGAAGGGTGTCTCAATTAAACATGCGTGAAATTTGCAATCATAAACATGTTATGAATTAATATTTAATTTGGTTAAAACTGAGTTTCGTTCCTTTCTAATTTGCATCAAATTTCTTATTTCTTTGAACTTTCTGCAACTTATTAGGAAATATAGGCGTCACCAAATTACACCAGCAGCAAGACATGGCTTTACTTAGGCAGTACACTTGGTTCATAAACATGGTGTGAATCCTGAGCTGTGGCTTTGAAAGCATCCCTACCATCTGCTTTATGCTTTTCAACATTATGAGTTTTGCTAATTATAATAATAATTGTCAAAGAAGTCAAATACAAGTACACTATATGGAGCTTTCATAAGTAACTGTGATGACTGACAGGGTAAAGTCTAATGATCATATATGTGATTGGAGACGACTCAGAAAAGCACTCATAGTAACTCTCATTATGAACTATGTAAAGTGCTATAATCTGACTGGAGGCATTCCATCTACAACATGATCTACATGCTGCGATATAACTTATCTACACCTTCACATTCTCTACATATTAAGTGAAAGAAATAAAGGAAGGGCACTGGCCCCAGCCAGAATCTGATTGGCCCCTCAAGTGCCCCTGTCCTGTCGGTAGTCTTTGAAAAATGTATTTACTCTGCACCTAGTAACAATACATGCAACAGTTTGTTTAGAATTTCTATTTTCTAAGCTTTTGTGAAGAACACAATGTACTTGAACAAAGCACATTGTTTGAGATATATTCAAAATGTGAGGCTTTGCTCCAAACTATAGAAATGACAGTAAACAAGGGACAACTTAAATGCACCTCACTGAATCAGGAAGTGTGAATGGATGTTGGACATATAATTTGTGCCTCTGTGTAAATTGTGGCCCTTTATGGTCCTGCATTTAGACAAACTCCCGAGATCAGCCACTGTCAAATATTATAATAAACATTGTCAATCATAGAGGAGGCACTTTCCACCTCATGGTCATTTTGTTGTTTTAATAACATGGTGTTTGGCTCCCCCTGTTGTACATGAATGTTAAATGTGGTGTTGCTGTGCCTGGATGACAGACAGACAGCCTGCGTGGTTGTGTCTGTCCTGCAGAGGCAGCTTTCCTGGCTGCCGGTGCCTTACACCCAGCAGCAGGAGGAGGCTGATGAGTTGTTAAGGTCTCGCTAATGCTCCACCCTGGCTGAGTTCACAAAATCTTTTGTTGAGGACGTGAAGAGGAAAGATGGAGACTATGTTGGCACTGCTGAGGATGAGGAGGATGGGCTTCTGAAGTTGTAGGTTTTTGTTTATGGTTTGAGACGGATCAACCAGACGTCTGCACATCTTAGTTTGAAAGAGTTTACATAGACCTTATGAAATTAAATCATTTCTAGATGTATTATTTTGGTAGGAGTGAATTAAGTGAATTTATACATTAAGGTACTTCCTTAAATTTTCCTGAAATAAAAATTAGCTGTCTCTAAAAGCTAAAAATAAAGGACTTCAATAAATAACTTCAGTTGATAACAATCGATATTTATCACTAACAAAACCTTTCATTGAAGTATTTACATTGTTAGCACGGCAAGTGAAGAACTATTAACACATGGGTTTTGCAGCTGCCTGAGGAGTTGGTGAGCGCCTTTGCTGGAGGCCAAACCAAACCGAGACAGGAAATCGTAACTGTGGCTCTTTGCAATAGAGAGCACAGCACACACCTAAACTACGTGCATCGCCTGATGCAGAGTACCATAGTTAGATATCGTAGATTTTACAATTCTTACGGTTATGAAACTGTGACGTTATGAAACCACGGTTATCATAAAAATCCCTACTCACAGCAAAATAAACAGAGATAATTAGTTTTAATGTGAGCTGAATGTAGTGAGTGACAAGACAAAAAAACCTGTCATAAGCAAAGCATCATTATCTAAATGCACTAACAATGTACTAACACTCAGTCCAGTCAGGGGTTCCTGACATGTTGCACTGACAAATGAGGTCACCGTGTCCTTTGATCACTGAAATATAATCAGGTAATCTTTAAGTGACAACTGGTTAAAATGTGAAGAAATGACCTGAAAGCAGAGTTGATGGTAAAGAAGCCATAAATATGATTTGTGAGGCCAGTGTGACCTTGAACTTTGTCCTATGAGCACCGAAATCGAATCTGTTCATCCATGAGTCTAACTGAACATTTCTCCCAAATTTGAAAGGATTTTCTAAAGACATTATTAAGATAATGTACACAAGGCAGTGGGTCGCCACTCTAAAGGGATGAGAACCACTCTGCTAATCTGTGACAACACAACACTAAAACAACCTTGCACAAGTTGCTAATGAATCACTAGTGGAACCTCCAGAAGCCAGAGAAGCTGCCAGATCCAGAACAGTAGTCCAACACATTACAGTGAAACATCAGGATGTGTCCAATACGTCCCCTGAGGTCCAGCATCAGGTACAGAAACATTCCGTCCTGTCAATTATCATTTGGATTCTGGCCTCTGCAGGCAAGCTGACTGTTCTCGTGTGTCGCAGGTGTTGCAGATGGCTTCGGTGACCTTCGACCTGATCTCGAGTCTTATCATCGGCATTGATAATTGGCAAGAGGTCGCAGAGGAAAAGCTAAAGATTCCAAACTAAACCAAGATGAGATCACTGGGTTTTTTTCTAAACTCTATTTTATTTTATTTTTGTGAAGACATGCATTCAATAAAGTGTGACGTTTTCTACGTCAAAAGTGTAAACACAGTTTTTACCTTTAAATTTGTTATGATATACAGTATATTATATATATATACTTTTTTTTTGTAGTGGTAAGAATAAAACAACACCAGGGTTTGTGGAACCCACTGAATCCCCTGCTGAGCTTCAGAGTTTCTCTTTTAGCATCTGCCACACAGGACTGCTTTCGACAATGTGAGTCTGAGCCAGAGACATGCGTTCACAGATGTTGTCTACATGGGGCGCACTGGTGGCCTGCAGACAAATGGTATCACAAGGTCACAACAGCATGTCTCATTCATTGCTTAGCTTTACCAAACAACTTCTGTGTCCTGCCTTTATATTCACCTTGGCGATTGTCAACATTCCTTCAACGACCTCAGCATTGTTTCTGACGGGCAGAATCCTGAGACTGCTGCCAAAGAATCTGAAAGAGAAAAAGACATTGTAATTTACCTAGTGTTAAAAATATGACTGGACAAATTATACATTACACATATCTTAGAATTGCATTGGTTATGTGACCATGAGCCTTATTACATTACTGTCAATCAAGCGAAACAAGTGGGCCACACAGCAGCTAAATTTGTAGAGGACATTTATGTACCTGCACTGAATCCCTGACAAGATGTCCAGTTCCTTCCTCCCAGTAACGGGCCCGTATAGAAGTAGAAAGCTGTTGCGGTGTACTTGCATAAACTTTTTTATCTTCTCAATGAGCCCTGACTCCTCAAATGGCTCTGGGAGGTCTTGGGAATCAACCAGCAGGAACGCAGTACCTAGGAACATGTAATTGTTTGTTTACTGGAGGCTTAAATTGGCCACAATATCCACGACCACTTATAAAGGAAATGTGTGGTCTGTGTTTATAGGTTCAGATCAGCAGGTCAAGGTTAGTTAAATACTGGGTGTGAACAATGTAAGGCAAGTGTATCGGAGAGGACTGATTGTCCCAGATGATCTACAGCAGTGGTCGCAAACCCGTCGATCATGATCAACTGGTCGATCCCGACAGTCTTCGCTGTCGATCCCTGGTACTCTCTGGACTCACTGGCTGTCGTTGTGCTGCAGATCAGCTGTGTGTCAGTTGTCTGTTGTTCACGGTGGGAGCGTGTCGGCTACTGGCGGTGGAGCTGCTGGTTGATCTTCTGCATTTCCTTGGATACAAGTTGAATTCTGCACTAAACTAAATGTCAGGACACTACGGTCTGAAGGCTTACACCCTCCAGTCTTGGCATAACAACCAAAGCCATGTTAGAATGGATTCAGAAAGTGAAATGCTGGTCTTCTGCTTGAAAAGGTTGGTGACCACTGATCTACAGTGTTAATAGTTATGAGGTCATAAACACAGCAGATTTACCTGAAAGAGGAAAAATAAAGGCTCCAGGCTCAACGCTAGCTGACGATCTGATTCGGTGCTGTTGAGCCACGAGCATCCTGACTGTGTCATGGTTCTGGTAAAAACAAACAAAGGCACAAATAATACAAACATCTTTAAATTCATTCAAATTTGGCAAGGAAACAGGTAGGTAGCCCGAGTACATGGAAATGTATTTCTGAATGATCTACTACTCCGCTTTTAGAAAAAAAAAACGGGACACTATCAGGAGCACGCTGTGTTCAGATATATGTGTATATATAAATGTATATAACAGTTTTTTTTGTACTCATTGTGTGTAAAAGTACATAAGTACATATATGCAGTTCTAAAGAGTGATCCTAAACTTTTTATTTTATTGAAGTGTGATTTGGATGTATTTGGGAGGGGATGGATGTGTTATTGTTCTGATGTGTGTATTGTATGTAGGCCTGTGTGTGTGTGTGTTTAAATATATACATTTACCATTATGTGGACATTTAGGTGTGTGTATACAAACTGGATTTTTGCATGGATAAATAAAGTTTGAACTTGTCTTCTGGAAAAAAAAGTGGATGATAAATGATGATTAATCAGACATGAATGAATCTATGTTTTGAAAGAGTGTTTATATCATTTGAACACATGTTTAGTTGTGGTGGTGTGTTAGCCACACAGCTACACAGCTAGCTAACCCGCCATCTTGAGACAAACATGTTGGACGGTGTTCTCTACCTGAAGAGATGTGCTCACTATCACCGTGGTTTTCCAGACAGGACTGTCTGTGTGTGTGGTCATTGTGTCCGCTGCAGGTTCGATACCGACACTGATAGCAGCGCTCTGGTTCACTGACTCTGCTCCATGTTGTCCTCCTGCTGACGAGTTCACTTACTATAGCATGTCCAGCCACGGGAGGGCGCTGTGGGGCCGCGCTGCTGTTTCACCGCCACACAACATCCCTCCTTCTTCTTTCACACGTCTTCTATGAGATGAGAGATTTTATAAAAAGTTTACAATCACGTCCAAAGGGTGACAAAGAAGAGGAAATGTTCAGAATAAAATTAAGAATAAAATCGAAAGGGTTGAAATAATGTTGAGATAAAGTAGAAAAGTCGAGAATAAAGTTATAACTTCGAGAATACAGTTGAAATGTTGAGAATAAATTTGAATATTTTTGAGAATAAAGTGAAAATCTCCACCTACATTAGAGAATACTTTTCTATGCAAGCTACCAGCGCTGAATCTTTCCTATGTGTAAATAAGAAAAAACATCTGAGGTCATTCTTTTCCCCTTTGTATTTCGAGGATCAAGTCGAAATGTTTAGATAAATGATTCCCCATTTAACGGCAGACATTTTAAATGGTCACCGCAGGACAAATATTAGCATTAACTTCATCACCATTGGTGTCACTCCTGTCCTAATTGCCAAAGGAGTGAGCAAATATTAACATCAATTCAGGTTTTTCATGAACACACCCAAAGGTTATGCATGTTTCAGTCCTGTCTGTCTGTTGTTAATGTACAAGTAGGATTACACAGACACTACGACTTCCATGAAACCTGGTGGGAGGTTTGGACCAGGGCCAAGAAAGAACTCATTTTGATGTGGATTTGGACCAAGGTGCAGACACAGGAATATTTTTTCTTTCTTTAACTTTCTTTAACACCTCTACGTTGGTGTTCCCCTGAAAAAAAAGACAAACTATTCTTATACAATAGGAAAGTGAGGTACACTTATCTTTTTCCATGACACAAACCTTTATTTTCAATATGACACTAAATGCAGGCCGATAGGCCGATATCATTTTCTTTAAGAAACTTATTCATCATATTATCAGAAGAATGTCAAGAGAAAATCTTTTTTTTGTCTCATTCTTTTATAGAGCTTTCGAAGCAACAAACATACAAAAATATCAGCATGCATAACAGCCCATCAGTGGGGAGAACCGGTCCACTAAGGGCATGAGGACGAATGCACATAAGCTGCTTCCAGAGTTCTGTGGGGTCCAGAGAAAAAGACATGTCATTAAGATTAGGATTATAAATTATAATAAATTAAGACAACGATGATGTAAATATGTCCAAAGTTCAATGAGAGGACATCAGAGTCCAGCGGGGCTCTCCTCTGTGCAGTCAGTGATGTGTCTCCAGTTCCACGATGGTCCACTCCCCCTGTGGAGATGCAGCATCTTCCGGGGAGAAGCTGGTCACAGTGATGCTGGTGGAGGAGTCCTCCATGGGCGAGATGAGCTCCGCCCAGCGTTTGAAGGTCTCCTTCTCTGGGGACAGGAAGGCCTGCGAGTCCAGGCAGTCTCGTGACAGGGACAGCGTCTGCTTGATGAGGTACTGGGCCAGGTTGAGCTCCTCAGGCACAGGGTTTATGACACCCAGGTTGGACTCCTGGTCTGAGAGGAGCTGCTTGAGCAGGCTCCAGTCCCGCTCAGCAAAGTAAGCGCCTTTGTCATCGTCCAGTCTTAGATTTTCTTCCTCTGCTTGTGGTTCAACTTTCCTGTCCTTGTCCGAGCAGTGCTCAAAGGCTTCTCCCACATCCATCTCGTAAATGGGAGAGAGGGCTTTGGATGGTCGGCGGTCAAGTTTGCAGCTTTGATCCAATCTGTCACAACCATTGTCGCCTAAAAGCAATTGACAATACTGCAAAATGACAAACTGGTTCACTCCTCCACACTTCTTTTTTTTTCATCACTTCATGCCAGAGACTAGACACTGCCTACTACAATTAAACATTGATCACTGAAAGTCTACCCTTAATGCAACTGTCCTTCAAAACATATTCCTGAGTGAAGTGAGGTGAGGTCAGCACAGTGAGGAGGCAGTGAGTTGGTCACATTATGGTCAGTAACAATTGGTTTAAAACTCACCAACCACCTCAAACACAGAGGTGGACAGTTGCCTTAAAGGTAACGCACAGAGGAACGCTTTTCTGAATGCATCTCTTTATCCACCTGCTCAAACAAAGTCAACTTACTGTAGCATTTCAATAAATAACAGTGATATTTTTTGAGTTTTACATGCAGGTCTGTGAACGAGCAGACCTCATGAACAGACTTTAACGAAATGCAAGCAACAGCTCCTTACTCAGAAGCACAAAGGATCGCATAGCGACAGTTTTTTTTTTTTTTTTTGACATTCGTTGTGTTTACTATGTTCAAAATGGCAAAAAATGAAGTGAGTGATCACTGTTTGATGCGAAAACAAAATCCCTGACATGTTTGCATTGCGTTAGACTCTCAGTAACGGTGCAGCAGGATTTCTTGGAGTGAAAAAAGAGAGACATGGCAGCTGCTCGAGAGACACATCACAAACCGTACATAGGAGGCTACTGACACTACACACAGCTTACTGAACAAAAGCTTATAGACAACAAAACAGTTTATTTTTTTAAAGAAGACATCTTTATATCTACTCTATTTGGGTATGACAAAAGGTGATGGGACAATGAAAAAAAAAATGGATGGCAAATTAATTTTAATAGTACATGCATGTGTATAGTGCAAAAATAAAAATAAATTAAAACAAATTAAATAACCAGGAAACCCAGGAAGAGGTACATTCTCCAATAGAAAAAAGAAAAACAGCAAGGAGATGCAAGGGAAAAGTTTCCAAGTATAACATACTTCTGAGAAGCAGTGGCAGTTTACTGTTGTGTTTCTCATATGAAGATTTTGTGTTCAGCCTTTGTATCACATTCCAGAAATTTGATTAAATCATTACCTGGTTGCAGTTTACCTTACCACATTTTAAAGGTCCTACATATAGCATTTTAACATAGATAAAAGTTTGAGCTTTGAGATGGTAAATGCTGTAAACAAACACATCGTGCCAAGCTGCATCGAGTGATGCTACACTGCATTTAACACTGTGAACCACAAACACAAGATTTATTTGTATTTTATGGCACAAAAGAAGTGTGTGTTTCTCAAAATGGCAGAAAAGCAGTGAATAAAAACAAACTGAGACAAATGTATTCTTTACAATAAAGCAAAAGCAAAAGCAAAAGCTTATGGGGCAAAAAAAAAAAAAAGGAGAGACATGCTGTGACAGCATCCTCTCAGATAGGAAGCGCTGGAATTTCTGGGAAATGTATTCTACATTTTGACAAACACAAGCTTCAGTCAAATCAATACTACATTCAGTGGCTTGAAAAAAGATTATGTAATTGTAATGGCAATTACATGAACAATTCAATAATACGTAGATGTTAAAATGTTATATATAGATCCTTCAACTATGTCAAATTCTCTGTGGCTAACAAAGGCCCAACTGTTCCACTGCATAAAACAAATGACAAAAATAATCAAAAACTCTTATTTCTTTTGTACATGAAAGTGCATTGGTGTAACTATGTCACATGCCTTGTCACAAGGCAGATTCTTTTAGACAACTCTATGATCAGTCGTAGTGAAATGTACACTGCTTTCCCCCTTTTTTTTAAATATAACCTGAATAACTTAGACCTGAAATCCTCTGACTACAGGTAGTTCAGTTGTTTCAAATGTTCCCTTTAAGTTAAACGTTTTGAAAAGGCCAATCTCCGTCTTTAAAAGGATACTGATATGAGTACAAGTTCAAATTTACAACAGCTACACAATCCATGGGTTGATATGAGAGCAAGCTTTTAGCTGTGAAAATATGATGCCCACTGATTTCTTTTGAACTTGAACTAGTTTCTAAACTAGTATGCTCAATAATATCCTTTTTCGGAAGGAGGGATGGTGTATGTTGGGTGTGGGTAAGGTCTAGGAATCGGAGCAGAGGAGAATTAATCTTGCAGGGATAAACTCAACCTTCAGATGGGTTTGGATTTGGGGGGTCTAGTAAAGATCCATAGGTCATACATTACCTGCTGGAGATTGTGCAGCATTTACAGGAGCGTCCCCTGTCAGCTGAGGCTCATTTAAGTCTAGATGTAAATCTGCTTTCCTGCTTTCTGAGGGATTGCTGTGATTTTTGCGCAGCCCTCCGTTGTATTGTTCAGTGTGCCGCAGATCCAGGTGGCACGGGCGCTCCTGGGGGGGGAGTTCTCTAGTGTCGGTGTCCACGGTCGGGACGCTGGACTTCATTCCATCCACCTGGATGTGATTACTCTCCTCCTGCACAGGCTCCTGAATCTCTGTAAGGAACACGCAGGATTTTTCTTCGAGGTTCTCGTTCTTCATTTCAGCAGTTTCAAGATGGCACGGCAGGTGGTTATGTTGGTCACTGGGAGGGGCACAATTGGACTGAGGTGCTGTGGAGTCAGACTCAAAAACATCACAGGGAGTCACAGCATCGTCGGGCCGCTGAGGTGGCGTCTGGACGCCGCCCTCTTCTGAGCCCAATTCCTCGCACTCATCGACAGAGAGTAACACTGACCGACGGAAATTAGAAGTGGACTGGTAATCGGGCTGGTCGTTCTCCTGGTCCGCACCCTCATCATCGAAAGCCAGGTTGACAATCCCCTGAAAATGTGGCGAGGGCTCAGTTGGCAGAGGAGCCTGACCTGTAATCACCTCAACCTCTGATCTCTCGTCTTCTGTCTCATCTTCCTCTTCCTCCTCCTCCTCCTCCTCAGAAGAGAAGAGCTGGTGGTCAGGGACGCTTTTTACAGTCACAGTGTTCTCGACCTCTGAGTGCTCCTCCTCTACATGGACCTCGTCTCTTTGCAACCAGGAGCGAGGGCGTTGCCTCACTCCCTCCTCCTCGCTGGTAGTCTCCGCCTCTCTCCCACGCAGCCGCACCTCCACTCTCAACCCAGCCCCGCCTTCATACATCTTTAACTCCTCTGGAGTGCTCGTGTCACTACTGCTGCGACCCAGAAAGTCATGACAGCGCATGGTGCCACACTTGGACACCCCTCGGTCGTTGGAGCAGTCGTCGTCCTGCGAGCCTCCAGCGTCGTAGTCCTCTGAGCGGGGCTTGATGTCATCAGAGGAAGTGGTGTGTGTGCTGCATGTCTCCGACTCTGGGCTGACCTGAGGGTGGATGCCGCTCCATGAGTCCTCGAAGGGGGTGTGAGTGCTTCCCACGCTACAGGGGGTGTCTATGGGGACATCAGTGTCTCTCTGGGAATTTGGGGAGCTTACCTCGTGAACTTGCCCTCCGCTGATGTGAGCAGGGATCACGCTGCTAGGAGACTGTTTGGTTTTACTCCCTTCAGTCTGTTTGCACACATCTGTAATAGCAGATTTAACAGGTGGGGAGTTGTTGGTTGCTGGTGCAACACTCCCCTCATCTGCTCCTCTGTTTGTGTTTTCTGATTCCTGTATTTCAGTCTTCTGGAGACTCTGTGTGGGGTTTGAGTCGAGCTGAAGGCTGAGTAAGTCCTCTCCACCCTGGCTTGTTGACTGCAGATTGTGTGCTGCTGGTGCTAGCTCTACACCATCTTTATCCACTGCACCATGACTAGTGTTGTCATTTGGACCAAGCTCAGCTTTAGAGTCTGAATTTTTACTATTCGCTGCATCTTTTCCTTTAGGTCCTGATTTCTTGGTGGCAGCAGCAGCTGAGGTTTTGGAGGATCCTCCAGACTTTGGTGAAGATTTCTCAGCAGATAATTCTGTCACACCTTTCGGCTTCAGTCCAGACCTGGCAGCGACAACTGAAGATTGTTTGGATGGGGCCGGACAGGCTCTTGATGGTTTGGCGCTGGATTTAGCCGAGGCTCCAGTATCTGAAACTGGTTTTATGATCTTCTTTTTCGGAGTTTCACTGATTGCTTTGTGTGCCGTTGAGGATTTGGACCCATCCTTACTGTCTTCTTTCCTGGGTGAAGCTGGCTTCTTTGTGGAGGATACATACTTTGAGACTGAATCAAAGACAGAGCAGAACAGAACGTTAAGATCTTGCTAGAATGCACTCACAGACATTTGAATGAAGCAGATATTTGAACATCTCACCATGATGGTCTGGTGTGCCTCTTCCCTTGGTGTCTGTTCTCGCTGCTGCAGTAGACACTTTCTCTCCTGCACCAGTCTGGAGTTTGCCACTTTCTCTTGAACTTGCCTTAGTGGTTGGACTGTGATTCATAAAAACAAAGATAGAAACAAACATGTAAGCACAAATGTTTCACCAAAATACTCCAATAATGAATATACCTGGCTCACATCATGATAAATATATGTATGTAAAGAGCTGCAGGGAAACTAATTCATGAATTTATACTTTACACCAGAAGGTGGCAGCAAATTTTTTTTTCTACTAGTTTTTCAAGGACAAGCCCAGATACATGAGCTGATTATTAATGCTAAGATTTTCGAGTTCTCACTTGTGTCCTTGTGGAGGATATTCACTGAGACATACCTCACGTAGGTTGTTAGAATCTACTTGCAGCTGTATGATGGTTTTTCATTGCTGATTGCTGAAATTATGAACAACCAAAAATGTTTGATGGATTGTTGAGCCTCTCCCTTAAAACACAATCTCCCATAAGTGTGCCATAATTCAAATTTTATAAAATGACACTTAGATTAAGACTTGTATTCACTCGATGGGAACGTCGAAGGGGAGGTTGACCAGCACGAGGATTAGATTCTTTAAATGTGACACTTAGCAATTTGATAGACAAAAGAAGCAAAGCACCGCGATGTGAAGATGACAGCTCACCTGTTGGTCTTTGTTGGGTCCAATTTCTGAGGAGGTTTTGCCAGTGGGGATTTGTTCACTGCCTTGGCCTGGTGTTTGGGCTTTGCACCTAAAACACAGAACATAAAGCACATCCTGGATCGTGACTGTGATCATGGTTTATGGTGGCAGCTGATGGTGGATAATGACTCCAACTAGATAGACAATATGCTTGCTCACATTCACTACTACCACCTCTATCATTGCTGCACCCTTCATCTCTGTCAGATACTTTAAACACTGATTCACCTATTGATTTCTTAGACATATTTTGTTTATGTACACATCTATTGCACTTCCTGGAAGAGGGATCTTTCACTAGTTAATTTCTGAGATTTCTTTTTTGGTAGTTTTTCCTCACTCTTATCGAGGATTAAGGGCAGAGGATGTCGCCATTGAGGATGTCCTGTTGAGCCATTTGAGAAAAAATACCATTTCTGAATATGGGCCACACAAATAAAATTTGATTGACATGTAAAATTCGCTGCAAACAGACAGTTTTGCAAACAATCAACCAAGTGAAGAACAGACCAAATAATCTTCAGGGCAGCACGTATACATAGTACACCAGGCCTGAGCTCTTCCAGCTTCCAGGGTGGAGTTCAGAGACTTGAACACTGCTATGAGAAGGGATTACTCCGCCTTCCCACATCCAACCTCGCCACTAAAGTTCAAAGTGATCCGTTACACCTCCCCATGTGACAGCTGTATGAGGCTTTGACCTCTGCGGTTAGTTCAATGCCAGGAGGCTGCAAAGGACAGAGCCTCATGCTCTGTTTCCTAATAAACCAACATTCATACATGACACTGTGCTGGTGTTCTAAAAGTCCCTCTTGGGCACAGCACAACATTCATAATATAAATTAGTCTGCAGGTGCTTTATAGTTCCAGTTACGAGTTACGCCTGGAGTTAAACTGCCAACACTTTGGAGGTGCCGGTGATGCACTACATTGTAATTTGTGTCAGTCACACTGATGAAATGTAAAGAAGTCAATAAAGAGTGTAAACCTGGAGTGGATTGGGTGTCGTTGCTGGCACCGTTCTCTGGCGAGGTGCTACCCGATGCAGATGAAGCGATGGGCTGAGGTTGGGTGGTGCCAGCAGTGCCGTCAGCCCTTCCTGCTGAGCTCCTGTGAGACTTCGCTGCCGCCGTTTGACTTGCAGACGTGCAGCTCGGGGGAGAGGTTTTAGGCCTTGCACCTGGATTTGGCTTCTTGTCCTGCTCCTTAGCCCCGTGAGAGCTTCTGGGGCCATTGGCACTGGCTACATCACGTTTGGCCCCTGCACTTCCTGTGCCATTGACAATCGGTGTACCAGCTGATGCTGTCTTCCCTTTCGCTGCTACACTCCGGTCTCCTGGCTTCTTTACATTCTTTGGCTTGGATGCGTGCCCATCGCCTGGTTTGTGAGCTGTCCCCAGCCCATCAGACTTCATGGCTGATGTAGCACCACGGGAGGCAGATGTTTTATATGCAGACACTCTTTGGGTCCTTTGCAGAGGAGGACTCTCAGGTGCAGGCGAAGAGCATTTTAAAGCCCTTTGCTGCCAGAAAAAAGACAATATTAGTCACAGAAAGGGATTAATCTGCAAATAACCAGAGGTCAGTCTTATGAAAGTGAATACATTAGCTTAGCAGAAAAATGCTTTCTACCATACAGTCTGTTATGAAATCTACCCTAAACCAGCCACAATCCTGCTGCTTATCCTATTGTGTTTTAAAATTACTTTCAGACGTTACAGAGAAGAAGAAATGATGCTTCTTTCTTGCTCTACTTTATGTCCACTCGTGTGTGCTCTAACAAATTGATAAAAAACTTCTGATTGTCGGCAGAAAAATTATGTCTATGAATTTGCTCATTGAGATTCAACAAAAATAAATAAATACAGGCCATGGCTACACTCAAATCTCCTGATCTGACTCCATTCATCCTCCTCCTGTGACATCTGTAGCTTCACTGCTCTCAGCCACCCGGGCCTCATATCTATGCAATCCCTATCTGGATCACCCCAGCCAGGCTTATCTTAGCTATACATCTGTTTAGAGAGGCCCTGCTGCTCATTTCACAGTGCATCTGTTTGCACTGAGGGTGGGGCATTCATGTCATCTGAAGGCCGTGATCTGTAATGACTGGGATTACACAATATACATGGATTTCTCTAAGATGAAGCACACTGATGAATTCACAACATCTTCATTGAAGTCAAAGTTATGGACAACAAATAGAATTAATTGAGGTCATGTTCTCGGTTGAAGTGTTGAATAATAATGTTACCTGTGAGCTAGAGAGTACTGGCTTTTTACCAAGTCTTCTATTGTCCCCTTTATCAATAGCCTCTGTGAAAACAGAATAAAAGCAAGATGAAATCACAAATAAGCCAGATAGTGTCCTGCCTGCAAAACAGATTATTCAAATGCAAGTATAACACAGATGAAAAAGGCTGCACCATTTTTTAAAAGACCTTGCTTCGCTTATTATGTGCGCTAGAGGAGTAATTGTTTTCATTCACAAAGTCCTGTTTCCACATCCTGTATTTACGCTTTGACCATAAGGACACAAACATGAAATCAGTGGATGCTTAAGAAAGCCCCGTCTGGGAATCTATTTCAATTAAAGCACTGCAATTTCTGCATTTTGTACATATACAATTTAGAATCCAATAATTCAGTGATCTTATTACAACAAAACATAAAACACACACAATTAAATTAATTTTTTCGGGCATTTATTATGTTTGTATGTGAGACCTTGAATCCGATTACACTGGTAGGAAATGCACCAGTAGAAGGCTCACTCTGATACCAGCTAAATAAATTATTCATACAGTGCATTTATACACATTACTAACTCAACAATGAGAGGCAGAATATTTTTTGTATTTATACATGTTTCCTGTCATTTGCACATCCACAAAGACAAGAATCCACCCTCTCATCTCCACCCAGTGAAGACAAGCATGGTGCATTTACCTCGAAAGCCTGAGATAAAAGCCGAGAAGCAGAAATGCAGAAGAACTGCATTGGTAAAACGATGAATGGGTTGGTAGTGAGCAGACAGCTGTGTTCAAAGAAGCTATTGAGTCTTAAAAAGCCAAAAACATATGCATCTCAAATGATGGAGAGCCATGGCTTTAGCGCAAGGCTGGGTTAGGAAGAGGGGAGAAAAAAAAAAAAAACATACATCCACACACTGCAGCATGAACATCCTGTGTTTGACTGGGGGAAAAAAAGAGCTTATAAATACGCCTCCTCACCTGCCAGTATCCTCTCTCTGTGTTTGGACGACAGAGTCTCCCATCCCTGCGTGTGGCGGACAGCGTAAAAGGTCTGAAGCAGAAAGGTCCAGAGGCGACCTCGGAGCGTACAAATCTCTTGCCTGAGCGACTGGTGGTAACACAGAGGAGAGACAGAGGGGGGGGGGGAGGAGAATAATGGAAAGGGGTGCACTACAGCACAAGCGAATCAGCAGCTGCTTGAAGAACCTTTCACCATGGCAACAAATACCCCTCCCTCCCTTTCTCTGTCCCTCCCTCCGCCTCAGTCGCTGTTGCAGAATCCAATCCAACTCCTCCCTTGAGAGAAATCAGTGATGTCAGCGACTGATGCCCACACTCCTGTTTCCACGCCTGATTATAAAAACGGGGCTGGAAGGTGGGGAGGAGCCATCTCTCCCTCCTCAGCCGCACTATCCGCACACACACACACACAGACACACACACACACCCCTCAGCAAATACACAGCCAGATTAGTGAAGGCCGCTGGCACACGTCACAGTCTCCCTCAGCCTAATCCATTCTGCCATACTGTACAGTATTTACAGAGGTTAACTTGTGCAGCCAGGTCACTTTCCCCTGGAAGTCAGCTCATAAGATTAACATGGCTGCTCACACAAGAGATTTGATTAGTCTGTATTCTTTTCACAGAGTATTGAATGATTGGTCTTAAAATGTTCTTCCCCAACCTTTGACAGACTGCTTACAGTGTATGTGAGATTATTAAACACAATATGCCAACATTTAAATAATTTTCTTCATGCATCAACTCAGAATCCAAGTACACTCAGTTTGTGCTGATATTTTAAAACTGATATGATTCTGTTACTGTCAACAAATCTCATGAAAACATCAAAGCCAACAGTGCCTCAGTCCGTCTCTCAATACTTTCTAATGTTCCCAGTCTAGACTTTATCCCTTTGTTCCTACTGAGGATAAAGCATTAAAACATTGCCACATTCATTGTTTAAAGACTGCAGGGGCACTCAGGAGCAAATAAGTCTGTCTGCTGGGGAGTATTCCGATACAGATTTGGTGTGATAGTATTTATAGCAAGGATGAAATTAAAATACACTAACATACATACATATACTAATACCCGTGTTCATAATTTTGGCGTTGCATGTTCCCCAATGCAATGGTATAGTTAACTGATGCATTTTCATTTTGTGTCAACAATGGATGAATAACATCAGCGTTGGGCTAGGCAAAGGCAAGTCATTTTATAATTTCTGATAACCTCTGAATGAAAGTTAGGTTTTTACCTGAGTTTGATTGTAAGCAGAATTACGCAAAAACTCATCCCTTTCTTAATATTGCAACATAGAGTGTTTCTAACAGTTTCACAGATTTCCCAGGAAATGATTCATTGATCTTGGTTGTGATTGTGATTACTGTTTATGAGTGTGTGCAATTCGGTGCAAATCCCCAAAAAAAGATGGATCTAGTGAATTGAAATCTGGTTTCACAAGAGGACTGTTGGGCGTTGATGGAGGTATGCACGCTACTGAGTGATATTCTAGTTTGATTTGATGACGGAAAGAAAATATGGAATGCAAAATACCAAAAGATTTAAATTAAAGTGAAACTCGGGTACAGTACTATGATCTGGCATTTAAAAATATTTGTTTCGAGTTTTAAACAACCATAGCTTCCACAGAGGTGTTAAACTCTCTATGATGAATTGTACTAAATGTACTAAAATCTTTAAGGCAACATTTTTCACACTTTTATTCTGTTCAAAATCTGGTAGTTGAACTAAGTGAATTTCACATGTCAATGTGCCATAATTATGATATAATTATAGATTTTTTAAATGTACAACTGTACAGTTGAATGTTGACAGTTAAATGTGTGGCTGAGAGGGTTTAGAAGTCACCAGTAATAGATTTAATCACACTATAGTGATGCAATAGAAATGTCAGAAACCTTATTCCAGTAATACCAAAGCTGAGCAGCGGCTGAAACCACACCACACCCAGATTAGGAAACCATGAAGCAAAGCCAGGCTATTCCAAGCATGCCGCCCCATTTAGACCACTCAGAATCCCGAACACATATTTACCCCCCAGTCCTCTGTTTGGTCTGAAAAGCTGAGTAACTGTGGAACCTGTACGTTACCCTGCATCCAGACTGAGGTAAAGCACAAGATGACAAAGCAGATAATTGTTGTTAGTCACGATTTTTCTTACAGAAGGTCGTATCACATCTGTAATTGAATTCTACAGTCCAGAGTGACAACGCTAACCTAAAGTAAGTCACAGGTAACCTTGTAACTGGACAGTTTGTGTGAATCTAAAACGTTGAACTGACTGACAGTAAGTCTTCACTGTGCTTTCTAGTGATTGTTAAATACTTTAATTCAGTTAAATGCTGCATCATAGCATCAAATAACAAGGGGAAAGATTTTTCAAGCTCCTCTCCAGGATTTCATGGTCTTCCTCTGTAAATGGAGTTAGGTAGTTAGAAGCTGTTTTCTCTAACCTCTAACTGAAGTTAGTTCAAACTCAATCCACTGAGGAAGAAAATGAAAAGCAGTTGACAGAAAGAAGAAAAGGTTTTTCTAATGCCGTTCAGACATGAACATTCATCCTGATGATCGGATCACGATGGTCAGGGCTAAGTTCAGGGCCAAATGCATCCTCAATTGATATTTTTTTTCAAATCCTTTTTCATAGTTGAACTGCACGAAACGCATTAATTATCTTAGACTCTCCTCACTCCGCTATCACTGAAAAACTGAACAAAATCCATGTATTTACTGCTGTCCACTTGTGATCATATCTCTCAGGATGGATGTTAACACCAGGTCTGAACAGTAGCAGGAAGCTAGCTGGCCATGACTTACATTGTTCTCAAAAGCCTAAATATACTAGATTAAACAGGGAATCTTACTTTTAACCATACTACATAAAATATATGCGCTGAACTGCTTGATGCTGACGACAGTATGATGTCTAATGAAGAGATAAAGACAAAAGGGTCAGCAAAAGGAACATGCTTCATTTCACCTCCTCTAGTTTTTGCTCTCTCTGCTTGAGGAGAGTGTCATCCTCCATGTCATCTCCACACAGACAGTTGACAGCAGTGAAAAGTTCACAGCAGTTATCCACAGTCACACCTTCCCTGATGGCTGAACACAGCTTCTTCAACAACGCGGGGTCTCGAGTAAACTCTTCCCTCTGTAACGAAGCCACACACACGCTGAGAAATATGAAAGAAACTTACGCTGATAATGCATCAACACGGCTTCAGCACCGTCTTACCCTGTGAAGGTCCTGGAAGGCCTGAGTTCTTGTGACGGTGGGAAGGTGCTGGACAATGACTCGCAGGCTCTCCTCCTGTAGCTCTGTGGCGAGACTTCTCACCTGTTGAGCCCACTTGACTTCTGGTAGACTGCCAATCAACTGCTCAGTGCCACAGAGCATGGTTACTGAATTCTGCACAGTCTGAATGGAAACATCTATGAGCTAAAGAAACTAAGACAATACAAAATAAAGTCTTATGAACACAATCATCCTTGATTGATTCCTGTTTTCCTGCCTGCGACCTGTTGATCAGTGAAGGGATTCCCTGAACTGTGTAACAGCTGTGAACCTTCTTACTTGCCAAGAGAGACAATAGTACATTTGTCTTGCTTTACTCACAGGGTGTATACTAACTCTTTTGCAGCAAAGAAAGACAGATTCAATTACCAATTACAAGCCTGGATAACTTCCCATCTGTCTGCATCCACATCCTATTCCTAAATTAACCCATCTTTAATAACTGAAAATGTAATAAAGGTAGTCTTTGATAAGATCATGGTTGAATTTCCTTCCTGTGGAAAAACACTGGAGAATGGGTTGATGATATTTAGGCGATTCCATGAACAGAGTAGGGCTGACGACTGGGAGGGGAAGTACTCACCATGGCTTCAGTTACAGCAGATAGACAGACTCTTTGGAGCTCGGGGGACAAGAGAGAGAAGTTTCTTTCACACCAGGTCTTCACAAAATGTTCAGCAACCCAACTGGAAATACACAGAAATAGCGGACGGTTCGGTTTCTGGACAATTTGACAATTTCTTCCCCCCTAGTCAGACAACATCCTGGTGGCATTTTGAATGTGTCTAACCTTGGGGAATCTCGGGCTCCATGCAGCAGTCAGCACAGCTTTGCTCGAGAAAACAACAGAGCGAGTGAGGACAAGAAGGTCAAAAATGCTCTGCTGCATACAGAGCAACGTCGCTCGCTTCATGGTCATTTTCGTGTGACTCATCAGACTAAGCAGAGACAAGCAGGCAAGGCCACTTTCCCACACAAACCACTTTAATTCAGAGCCAGATCCCAGCCTAGTTGAACACATCCAACCACTCTGACCTCAGGGGCAGATATTTCATCTCATTGTTGAGGGGGACAATAGACAGACATTTCTCAAGTAAAATTCCTGAAGGGAAAGTATATAAATACATATGTAAACAATAAAAACAATAATTATATTATTAGATTAATAATAATTAAATAGTATACCAGTATTCCTTATAAGTCCAGTAACCATATAGACAATAGTAGAGAAGCAACACCCATATAACGAACTGAAGCCAATAACGTCACTTAATATATTTAGTTTTATCAATGAAGCAGATCTCTGCTGTGTACTTATACAGGAAATTACACCACGGCAGTCATTTTACATGGTACCCCCTGCCCCGCTGTAAAGTCCGCCCCTGCCTGACCTATATTCACACACTTCTTTGCTGCTCACTGAAGTGTGCATGAGCACAGATAGCCTGCAGCCTTCTCAGAGTAATGCAATGCAGTAAACCCATGTTCATGAAATGTCTTCTACTAAATAAGTATCTTTAGAGATGCTTTAATGTGGAGGAATGGATGTTTCAGCTCTTTTGTTGAGTAGTGAAAGAAAATCTCTTCCTTAATTGTATTTAATCTGTATTCCGAATATTAATCATTCTAAAAGTCAGTGTCTTTAATCATATTAAAGCAATCTGCATCACACCCCTGACCCTGGCGCTTAATGACACATGAGTATGAACCCACGTGCTGGTCACCTGGCAACAAGATGCTGATGTAACTTGCAGTGGCAAGAGTGGTGACAGGTTGGAACATGCTGCACATGTGATTTGCTAAAGGTCATGCTTGACAAAAATTAAAATTTCAGGAGCATAAATTAAAATGAAGTGACACTTACCATCCTTTATGGACATAAAGAACAAGTTTCCTTACTAGAGTCCAACTACCAGTAGATGTTAGAAGGTATTAGCAGCCACCAGCAAATGTTAGGGACATAACTTCAACAGTGCACTATAGCGTCATCAAATGTTTTGGCCGAACTTGAAGGTACGCTGAGGCTAAAGGTAAATCTGACTGGTACTGGCTTTATTACTAGAAACTCCTTTGATACTCACCTCTTACACAGCAGGTGGAGACTGTGAAGGCCTAAGGCGTGTGTGAGGGAGAGGCACTCAAGAACCGTTCTCTGAACTCCGTCAATAGGCTGCAAACATAAAAAAAACACAATTGGTGAATTTGAGTTCCTACAATGATTGAAATCTCTGAGGGATCTGTCGGGTGCAGCAGTTGAAGAAGTGACACATGGCAGAGTGAGATGGTAATGAAGCATTTAGTTCTTTAGAGAAATTGACCAACATCAATACTGACACTGGATATGCAGGCAAAGTACAAAATCTGCAAACATAAAGCAAAAGGAATAACAGAAAAGAGATTTGTTCTTATGTTTTTTTAGCTGTCATCTCAGATATGCATCAAACTAAAACACATATTTAACTGCTATCTTGAACTTTGCACTATGAGAGACCAATATGCCCCAAACATAAACTAAATGTATACAGTACAAATGGGTTTTTAAAAAAGACCACGGAGAGGGGGAACGATAAAGACAGTAAATATAACCTATAGACATAAACATATGATTAGAGACATTAAAACAATCGTCATGATATATGAATACTATGACACAAATAATTGAAAGGGTGAGGGGGTCATCAAACTTGAATTTTAATAATCACTCCTTCTAGTAACACTAAGGATAAGGGCCAAAGGCAAAAAAGAAAATAAATCTAAATGTTTGAGAATACAATTTTAGACTATGTGTGATTTTAGAGGGGAAATAACAGAGGATCAGCCTGTTGCCTGTGTTAAAATGAGGAATGTGGGGCATAGTTTCTCTATAAAGTAAGAATTGGTGATCCAGAAGGAGTAAAACTACAAGAACAAGTTCTCCTTGCTGCTTATTTCCCAAATATTTATTTCGGGAGAAATTGGGACTTTTTTTATCATTAAATTAACTAACAATACATTTTTGGTTGACTAATGCTTAATAATGCATCAGTAATTAGATATCCAGTAAGGTTTATCATAACTTAATATAATAATATCGTCTCAACATATTACTGAGAAAAATTCTGAATAACTTTTCCATGAAAGTGCAGCCAAAGTAAATGTTTTTACCATTATAATTCATTTAATGAGCTCAGTGATCTGATCTGATTCCCACAGCTGAACAGCTCTCCTTCACTGACAGTATGTATCTCAGGGGGCTAAGCGCAGGTTCAGTCCAAGAGCCTTGAAGCTGCTGTCCAATGAATTAGAGCTTTATTTAGAGAATGGTCACAAACTCAAAGAAAATTGCAGCACATCTTTCCTAGAGTTCATCACACTGATTTATAAAAAGAAGAATGGGATAGATGTTCTGTATCACCAAGCTTAATTGTCCAGCAAAAAGACAAATACATCACAATACACATTAAAAGGTAATAAGCAAATAATATCCATTCTTTAATAGTTTCTTTTGCACAGCTAACCTTAGGAAAGAAGCGGCAGTAGTCTCGGAGCAGAACCATCTCCACTACATCTTTCAGCCCCTCCAAACCCAACATGTCTGCTGCCAGCACCACCTGACTGTGGGACAGGAGACAGAATGCAGGTAGGTTTTCTTTCAGGAACTGTATTTTGATTATGGCCACTCACTTCATTCACACACTGTACCTGGCACTGGCTCCAGGTGGCAGATCCACAATGGCACCATACATGTACTGGAGCAAAATCTCCATCTCATCAGGCCCTAAGCTGAAAGGATAAATACAATCTGATTACACGCTACATTTGACCGACCAAAATAAGAAACTGTCCCCCAGTCACAATCTAATATTCTCTATGCAAGTCCTGGCATACAGTGTATTTGAATTTTATAGACTGTTATAACTGAGATTGCTGTAAAAAAAAATCCATATATCATGCAGCATCACATGACTGCAGCCTGAGGACTACTTCTCAGGATTTCCCCTATACGTCAACGCAGCCGCTCTCCACTCAGCTTCGTCTTCCCCAGTTACGCTCAGATCAGTAAAGCTGAGGCGAGTGACACGTCTCTCCCTGGAGGAAAAACTGGGCTTCGTTTACTACTGCTGCTCTGACAGTAGACTGTGGGTGGTAGTTGTGAAGACATTCATGTGCATCCTAATTTCAGATTCTTCGTTCGTGAGTGTGTGTGTGTGTGTGTGTGTGTGTGTGTGTGTGTGTGTGTGTGTGTGTGTGTGTGTGGTCCAGGTATCTCATGTAGTGGGGACCTAAATCAGTTCACACAGTCATCATAATGGGAACTTGTCTTCCTTATGGGGTCAAAAAGCAAGTCTCCATAGAGTAAATCATGAAATTTCAGGGTGAAGTTTAACTGTGGCTAGGGTTGGGTTTAGGTAGGTTAGGCTTAAATTAAGATTAGGGTGAGAGTTAGGGTTAGACATGTAGTAACTATGGTTAAAGGTTCAGGTGGTGGTGAAGTTGCATGAGGTAGCTGAACACCCCTCACTTCACCCTCACATGACAGAGAACCTGCGGAAACCTTCAGCTGTCTTAAAAACTCAAAAGGTGTTTTGTTTGTCCGATCTGGGCTACTGTAAAAAACATGTCTGCCTCTGTAGAGAGGACCTGCTCCCGATGTAATTGTAAAGTATTTTATAAAAAGGGCCAATTCTAGAGAAAAGAAAACAACAATTTGTACAATTTAGATGAAACACACAAGTGAAAACATCACTATGATTATTTTGTATTCAATTTCTGCCAATAGATCTCTTTCACATAAATCTTACACACTGGACCTTTAAGGGAATAAATGTAAAGTCCTCTGAAGTCATGGAGACACAACTCTGTGTGTGTGTGTGTGTGTCTGTGTGTGTGTGTGTGTGTTTAAACATGGCATTGGGAGTGAAACCTCAAACCGTACAGAGCAGCCACCTCTGTTGCATCCATGAATATTTAATGCGGCATAGTGCAGTGATTCAGTTGTATTGTTAAGGAATGAATTGTAGAATTGTTAGAGCAGTGGTGGAGGTGCATTAATGATCCCTGATGCTTAATGATGCTGATGCACAGATCTTACCCTTGCAGGGTGATGCACTGTCTGGAGCTCTCCATCCAGCTCCCGCTCAGCATGGCTCGGAAGTACTGCGACCGTGCACACAGGACTGCCCTAGAAACCCAATAAAGCAGACAGTTGCATGTCAGATCCCACCCACCATTTTAATATTTTACATCATCTGGCGGGTCTGTGTGTACTTAGGATTTGAAGAAACAAAATGTATCTGTGTGTGTTCTCTAGTCCCTGGAGAATGTGATTTTATTCTCCCTGGCTTAATTGTACTGTCAGTATTGTGGAAATTCAATGCCACTGAAGAGGGGGGGGGGGGGTTTAGAGTACTTAATAAGCTACATGAAAGGACACGTCTGGTGATTATGTATATGTTCTAATTGTAAACAAAACCAACAGTGACTTGCTCTCTTTCCTCAGCACCATAGAGCTCCATTGTTGCCCAAAAACTATTAAAAGAACATCAACGACCCACATTGTTGCACTGACTGACATGTTCCTTTATCACAATCAACATAAGCACTGAAGTTTATTTTGTCTCAGTCCCACATGCACCATCCCGATGCTATAAATACTCACTGAGTGTCATTAATGTTAATCCAAATGTGGCTTAATATCCAAACGAAAATAGATCTCAACAAACACACCAACCAAAAGCACTTTAGAAACATCAGAAAAGTTCTAAAAAGTCTGGGAACATCATCTTGAATACTCCCCAGTATTAGAATAACCAAGTAAAACACTAATACACACAACATTGATATTACATTAAATCAATTGCATATTCATTTCTTAGCAAAATGAACAAGTCAAAGATTTGAGCAGTGACCTCGATGACAGGTGGGCTTCTGCAAACCCAATTTTTTCATCACTGTTAATCTGTCTGTGAACAGGATTACCCAAAAACAACTAAACCCATTTCCATTAAATTTCGTGTAGGGATGGAGCATGACCCAAGGAAGAATCTATTCAATTTTGTTGTATGCAAGCAGACAGCAATTTACTACTATATGCTATGATATACACAAGGCCTATATCGTATGAAAATGTTTAATAAAAGTAAAACCTTCAGACGTTTTAATATTGCAGCCACAGAGATTGACTTTGTTTTTAACATGGAGAAATGGGGCGTTAGCCTTAGTAACAGTATGATCTTGGTGTCTTCCTGTAGATGCATGCATCAGCTTCACCTCTGTGTAGGTTTGATCCTGTCCACTATTCATCTCCAATTTTTATCAGCAATGTCAGATCACAAATACATCCCTAAAACTATGGGTGCCGCCTAGTGGTGCGCAAGGTCGTCCCTCATTCTGAAATTTCTAGTCCAGTGACACGAGTGTCAGCAGTGATCTGTATGACAGCACAGTGTTAGCTGCTGCAGCAGCTCTCACCCTGAGGCTGAATCAGGGCCACTATATTTCACACTGTGGAGAAAGTGAAAAACAGCCCAGCTTCTTCTGTCTGACCAGCCTTTGCTGGCTGGCTGTTTCCCCGAGCACACCCTGGGAGAAACCAGTTTCTATGGTTACCAGCTGCTACTACTACCACCTCTGCATCAATGATTGACCATTCACTGCTGCTCAACACTGGCATGAGTCGACAACAGATGCACAACCTCTGTATTTTTTTATTTTTAGTTTATGTGTCTGTGGTGTACTGAAATTAACTAGGATAACACTCTTAGCAGAAAAACAAACAAACAGAATATGCTTTTCCAGATGTATTGATACAAAGGGCTAGGGAATCACCATGGAGGGATAGAAAGGAAATAATAGAAATAAAAAAGAAATAGAATTACTGCACCTGTGGCAGGAGAAAACCTGATCTGCTACTTGGATGGTGATGTCACACTGCTCTCTCCTCTGGTACAGATCCAGCATGTCAGCTCCGAGGCCAGAGGCTGGCTCAAGAACATCAGCATCTGGACCAAAGTTGAGTTTGACAACGTGGATGGTCATTAGGGAGAGTGGTGATTAGGGCAAAAGACTTGAGTATATTAATCTGTGGAGGTCACATACAGTGATAAGAAAATAAAGGGACTGAACCCATTTGAGTTATCTGCATCTCTGTATGTTTGTAATAATATTTATTTTTATATATATATAAGTATCCCAGTTTTGATCATATTCAGAATATGGTGTTTACATGTTACATTGGGAAATCTGGTTATTCATATGCCCGTATACATGATCAGTACAGGTATTCTGGTTACTTATAACCGTGTGCTGTATGTTTAGATTCCTGCTAGTGGAAATTAGGCCACTTTGGCTTTGTTCTATCAAATGTCAACATTGCATTGCAGATTTGTGTTTCCCACCTTATTGCCAGCAATGGGAGATGAGAGATGACAGCAAATATTAAACATGTCCTTTTTGGTCTGTGTTGTGTAGTCCCTGCCGTAACATAGAACCAAGGCGTTCTAGATAGGATTGAGATGTAATAATGGAACCTGTGAAGGTAGTCAGCAGTGGCCAGAGCCCGGGATAAGATGTATACATGCACCAGTATCCTGGTTACTAACTCCTGCAAGTAAAATCAAGTTTTTCCAAAACCGAAATAAAGGCTGATCCAGGACACTGAAATAGGAATAGAATGTTGACGTGCTTAAATGCATAAATGAGATACTTAGTAGTCACAGACATCCTACGAATACATCTGAGCTAAACCTGTTATGTAATGAAGAAATTCCTCCTGAACATTCTGAAGGTCTGATAAGCAACTACCAGACACTCTTTATTGAGGTTATGGGAGCAGAAGCAGGTTGGAGCAGTTATTAAAACCAACATTTGACTTACTTTTTCCACTAGCACTCTGAAGGTTTAATGGGTGTGTTCAATAAAGACTACGCAGATTTGAATTGTTTGTGTGGTATTAGCTTAAGCATTTTGTCTTTTTCTACATTTGTGTCCAAGATTAAGGAAAGCAGGCAATTCTACTGGGTTCACTTACTCTTACTTCCCACTTTGTATTTGTATTTCTGAATGTGAAAAAGCAGAGGCCACTATTATTACACCACTTAACTAAAATACTGACAACAAGGATCCAAATGCAATTAGTGGTTAAGTGGATTATGGCTGAGATAGCATGATGTGTAGAAAGGGGAGGGAGGCAGCTGGACAGTCACATTACCTGGAAAAAACGTGTTGACCTGTTCACCTGAGTCAGTGGAACAATGAAGATCTGCGGAGTCGGGATAACAGAAACTTCTGTCTGGCATGAAGCCCTCCACGTCTGGAGTTATTTCAGCCGAGCGCATGCTCTCCTCTGCTGTGTACACTCGCCTGCAGGGGGGAGACTCTAAAGGTTAATTAAAACTAGACCTTTCACACACATTTAAATTACAACTTCATTTGATGACCTGTGACTTCGGTGGTGCAGGAGCAAGCCACAGCCTCAACTATGCTTGGTTTTCTACTTTTGAACAGTGAGGCATTTTCTAAAGTAACGGACAATCATACATCGCTGCTCTGTATCACAGATGACTGGTTACGGAACTCACATCTGAAATAATTCAGAAAACACGCTGTAGCACCATGGCCTGTTCTGCCAGGATGCTCTGTTCTTTTTGTTGTAAGATTGTCCCTTCAAGTACAAGGATCTCAAAGTTTCATGTTAAACACTGAAAATGTTTAAGTTTAAATTTAAGTTTGGCAGACTAAATGAAAAAAATTCAACTTCATATTCTTCAAGCAGAGAAACAGAAAAGGTCATGTCCTGCTTGTTACCATGATATTTGTATTTTCCACACGTGTGAAAAAAGTGCCAGATTATGTGTCACTACTAATGTAGGTTTATTCTCCTGGGAATCAGCACACGTCTGTGGCACTGTTTGTTTCTGACAGCACAACACAATTTGATGAAGGGGAATCACTTCACTAGGCATTCTGTTACAGTCTGTCAGTATGTTCTGGACAGCCATCTTCTGGCTTAAAAAGAATTGACCAAAATTACTTGCTGACCCTTGTGGAAAACTGTATTTCCAATTGCCACTGAATTGAAACAGAGTCATCCACGTCCAAATCACAAAGATACTTAGAGTCAAGAAATTTCCACACCTCTAATATATGATACATCTTTTGAGTTTTGATAAAAAAATTCTATGGAAAACTAATAAATCAGTGCAAGTCTCCCTCCAGTAGTGGCGCTCTTTAACCTCCTTTAGTCTTTATTGCTTTCCTACATACACTATATGGACAAAGGTATTGTGACATCTACACATTACACCTGTAGGAGCTTTTATGATATCTCATTCTAAATCCATAGGCATTAATATGGAGTTGCCCCCCCCCCATAACAGCTTCCACTCTTCTACAAGATTTTGGATTGTGTCTGAGGGAATTTTTTGCCTATTCATCCAGATGAATGGGGTTGAGGTCAGGGATCTGCGGGCCAGTCAAGTTCATCCAAACCAAACTCACTCAACCATGCCTTTATGGACCTTGCTTTGTGCACTGGGGCAGAGTCATGCTGGAACAGAAAAGGGCCTTCCCCAAACTATTCCTCAAAGATTTCCCTCCACTGGAACTAAGGGGCCTAGGCCAACCCCAGAAAAACAACCCCGTAGCATTATCCCTCCTCCACCAAACACTAAAGTGTGCACAACACAGTCAGCCACCAGTAGTTCTCCTGGCATGCCAAACACAAACTCGTCCATCAGACTGCCAGAGAGGGAAGCGTGATTCGTCAGTCCACAGAACACATTAGGTTCAAGGCTTGCATGTAGATGCTCAGCCATGGAAACTCATGCCATGAAGCTCCCTGCGCACAGTTTTTGCACTGATATGCCAGAGGAGGTTTTGGAACTCTGCAGAAATTGAGTCAGCAGAGCGTAGAATTCACTGATATCTTTAGAATGACCCATTCTATCAGAAATGTTTGTAAAGGCAGACTGCATGGTTAGGTGCTCGATTTGATACAACTGTAGCAATGAGACTGACTTAAACACGTGAATTCAATGATTAAGAGGTGTGTCCCAATACTTTTGTCCATATAATGTATATAAAACACAACAACAAAGCAAACAACTGTAGAGCTTTACATTTTGCAGTTGATAGTATCAGACTTTTTTATCTTAAAATTTACATTGTTATGTAGTTCTGGTCTTAATCTCTAAACCAAATCCATTTTACCCCATTTTCCTATTTAACCTTTCTACCAGTTGTTAGTGACCAAATACTTTATCTTCCTTCACTATCATGTTCTAACTGATTGCTATTCTTCTACAATGAAAAGTTAAGTAATATAGTTAAAGGGATCGATATCTAATGGGAAGATTGTGAATACAGAAACACAAAGTTATCCCAATGTTGTCGTTTTTTGCATGTAAAAAGAAAAAGTAGTGCAGACAAATTAGGTCAACTGTCTCCTCCTCCTAATTATACATTCTTAATGAGATTCAAAGATAAATTTGTTGATCAAAGACTTGTTCACTCTAACAAACCGCAGTGTAAAGACTTGATGACCGTTACACAGATGCTGCACCGGAGTCTTACATTAATGGATTATTAACACTCCTAAATGTTTTAATTGTGTGTCTCAACACTAACATTAAAAATGTTGTGTGCTTTTAATGACTTAAAAGATGCGGCATTTGCAGTGATCCTTGTAACAAACCTGCAAACACCAGCAAAGCTTGCATATTAAAGTTGCTGTGACTGGCGCCCTCTTTCAGAAGGACAATGAAACTGTCAGGATAAAAGATTCATTCTAACATTTCCCACGACAAAGCAGGTGTAACAAAATAAATAGTAGATATTTGGTGTGATTAACAAAGTAGCATTCATTTGAACTTACCTGAGAAAATCTTTCAGCATGGACTGCTCATAGCCGGGCAGATGAATGATCGCTGGATCTTTGTGCATCTGTCCCTGTAGGAAATGAGGAGCTCGAGCCAACAGTATGGCTCTGTGTGCTCGGAGTGAGCCTGAGCCAGCATACAGAGAAACATCAGCTTCCAGCTCCTCCTGGAGCAACCTGGGAAAACACATTACTTTATCAGTGGGCATTCAATCAAATTTTGTTTACTAACTGACTAAAAGAAAAATTCATATGGTTGTGGCTCAGGAGATAAAGCAGGCTGTCCACTAACCAGACAGTTGCTATTTGACCCCCTTGAGCAAGACACAGAACCCTAAATTATCCTATGCCGCTGTGCCGTCAGAGTGATTGATAGATAAGTGTGGCATATGTATGACAGCGTTTGTGAGTGAACACAATTTTCATTGTTAAGAGCTTTAAGACTAGAAAAACTCCATGCACAAACCATCAGCATGAACAAATCACAATAATTATAAGAGAAACAACACAAATTGGAAAAGTATTCATAGTTAATTCAAAAAGCAACATATAAATAAATATAGATAATTATTGTTATTGTATTATTGCCCAGCCATAAGAGAAAATATACTTCTTCATCATCTACAATCTACAGCATTAAAAGTTTAATCTGAGGGTCTATTTTTTCACTTGAGAAGTGCAGACCTGAGGCATCTCACTTCTTCTTCACCATCATTATGTCTCATCCTGCCTGACTGATCTGTGTGATGCAGAAATCAGTCAGCTTAGGGCCAGCTGGCAGTGTGACTTTAAATGCTGGTGCTGTGTCCGTAATGTTCTGATGAGAAGAGTCTGAAGGAAACTCATACCTCTGTCCACACAAACTCACTGGACTGCACTAATCATATCAACATGGGACAGTTTACTGTTAACTTCCACTCATCAGTGAAATACAGCAACTACACTCTGTTTTTTATTTTGCAAATCCACTGATCCTATTATCTGAGGAAAAACCTCACCCGTGACTTAATAGTAATACTTTTGTAAAACTAATGTGTAGATGCAGGTTAGAATGGGCCCTTTATATATACAATTTTATATTTACATTAGTTCTCTCTATGGAGGCTGCCATGTTTTTTTTACAGTAGCCCAGACTGGACAAACTAAATCCTTCTGAGGTTTTTATGGCAACTGAAGTTCACCACAGGTTCTCTTTCATGTTTGGAGGGGGAGGGTGAGGTGAGGGGTATTCAGCTGCCTCATGCAACTTCACCACTAGATGTCACTAAATTCTACACAGCGAACCTTTAAGCACTATAGCTAGCCTGAGTGGATGGAAGGAGATTGTCAGGAAATTTAGTTGATCTGCTCGACATTTGGTGGAAATGATTGGTGACAGGGTAATTCCAAACAGTCGAGGCATCTTTAAAAGAAACATAAAGCTTTTCTGCCGGTATGTTACTATCATTGCATGTAGTAACATATCTTACCTGTTCAGGTCTGCAGACAAAGCAGATGATAAACATCTCTTCAGCTGCTCTTTGTATTTGCGCTCTTTGGCCTGGAACTCTCTCTCAGTGGTGATCATGGTTTATTGTGTTCTCTAAAAGACAAAGACAAGACAGAGTTCAGCTTGTGAATGTGTTACGCACCGCTAGATAAGACTAGATAAGACAAATGGGACAAGATAAAACCAATGGCATGCAGAGGAAGCCAAGTGAAACATGTCTGAGAGCTAGTAATTCAGCCAGCTGGTGTTTTAAAATCACTTACTCCGTTAAGATGTAAGGTGGTGCTCCGCCACTCACGCCTCACTGTTATACTCAACCATTAGTTTATAAGATGCATTTAACTCAACATTATTGATTATCTTCACTGTGATGAACACATTTAACAATCACACAAACCACTGTGAACCAGGGGGCGCTGTTTCATCGGTGTGAACAAGACCAATGGAAATGGGAGAAGATGATCACGACTAAAACCCAAATTGTATAAACTGTTGTATGAAGGAAGAAATGTAATCAGCTGTACAATCAAATAACACAGAACATAAGCTTTAATAACAGATAGAGACCTAGCTTACAGGGGGAAACGCACCTCTGCTAGCATCACTGTATCTCTCAATTTAATAAGAAATAAATACAATAACGTATCCTATATAAAACACACACACACACACACACACACGCACATGGATGTGTGTGGTTCCTCAGCTGGACACGGTCTGTGCTGTCAGCTAATCTACACCATCATTTTCATTTTCCTCCTGCGACTAGCATGCTAGCGCTAGCTAACCTGAGCAACCACTAGTAGTTAGTTCTCTCCCCCGGACAGATCCTGGCTTTCTGCACACATATCTATTGATTACTCAACAATCACTGTGCACGCGTATGAGTCTCTGTTACGGGAACCAAGAGATGATCTTTATTTGTCTACTGACCCACTGACCGACGTTGTTGACATCACTGCCACCGCACGCCGCTCGTCCACCTCCCACTGGGTTTGAAAGAAACACAAGGAGCGGACAACTCGTCACACCCGGAAGCTGACGCACATGCGCAGTTCGAATAAAGGTGTGCTCGTCGTCGTCTCCTGGTGGCGTTTCTGCTGAACGTCCCACGCGCTGCATTGTTGCATCAGCAGGATTTGCCATTCGTCTGTTCATGATGCAGAATTTATCTTATCCATTTATCTTATGTTGTTGTATTGCCAAACTTTGTACGTCACTTAGATGGTCTCCATCCTCGTTATGCCACTTTGAGATGGATTTACTGTCTCTAATTTTTGCAAACAGAAGTCATGTTTTGTGTCAGTGTGTCTTGTGTTTATTTCTTTCTTAAAATAATTCCATCTATTCGGTTCTATTTCCATTCTATTCTTACCTGTGTGTATTCTGTTCTTGGACTGCTGTAATACCAGAATTTCCCTCGGATCAGTAAAGAATTATCTTAACCTCCTTTATCTTATGTAACCTGATTTCCATGATTTCTATGTCTTATGGCAGAAATGTCAGCTAACTACAGACAGAGCCCAAGGTAAAAATACATGAATACATAAATATAATTTATTGGATTGGATGTATATGGCAGGATATTAAGATTGAGATTGAATCAAACCTGGCCCTTTGCACAACAACGACCTTGATGTGCTTGGACCTGTCACATTATTTGTAATTTAAAAAAAAAATATTTTACCAATTATTTGTAAAATTGGACACATTTTCACAGATACTCTACATCCCACACACCCATATGTGAAGTCTTGGGAAACAGGGAGCGCCTTGTCAGTGTTTTCAGGCTCACAGCCCAGAGGTGGTCACCCTTTGGTCTCTGGGTCATCTGAGTTGGAGAATTAGGATTCCTTCTGCAGCATGTACTGTGAACGGCATCAGTAAAGTCTTCTTGTTCACAGCACGCCATGGATTTGTGTATTTTAGACCGACTTGCAAAAAACATTTTCTCAGTATGACATGCATTGTTTGTCAGACAGTTCTTTAATGATATATGATCTGCATATTATGGCCTATTTAAAGGTCCAGTGTGTAAGATTTAAGTGAAAGGGAACTATTTAATGTAGAATAATCCTCATGATGTTTTCACTAGTTCATTTCATCTAAATTGTATGAATTGTAGTTTTCTTTACCCCAGAAAAGGTCCTTTATATTTAAATACTTTATATTTACATTGAGGGGACCCTCTCTACGGAGGCCGCCATGTTTTTTATTAGTCCAGGCTGGACAAACTAAACACCTTTTGAGTTTTTATGACAACTGAAATCTACCACAGGTTCTTTTTCATGTTTGGGAGGAGATGATGAGGTGAGGGGTGTTCAGCTGCAACATGCAACTTCAACACTAGACATCACTAAATTCTACACACTGTACCTTTAAATCAAGTGCTTTAGGCTATAGGCTACATTATCATATATACTGTACATTCCAGTCCATTATCTTTAATAGTGTCAGGGAGGATTAAGATGAATTAAAAGATAGACTAAAGCTGGCTGTTAATGTTGTGTCACTTGTAATAATGTCACTAAAATGAAGAAGAAATAGTTCTAAATCAAAATGGCTTCAAAAATGAGTCTCTGTCACTGATATGGATGAAAAAAGACTTGATGTGTATTGCAAGGTGCAGTGATGTTGCACTGGCATGTTTTCTGATGGTGCTGGATCGGACAATAGAACATCTACGTTCACTAAAATATAATGTCACTGTCACCTCACATCAAGATGGTTAAATTCCCAACAACTAAAGATGACATTGAAACCACTGGTGAAGAGTAGGCACTAATTAGCTGGCATTTGAAACCTTTTTTTAGCATCAGACATTTTGATGCATCACAGCAGGAAGAGCACAGGTTGAAATAAAATCACTGACCATGCTGAATTCCATTTAGCTGCTTAGGTTTCAGGGCCTGTGGATGCTGGCTCACTGTCACACTGTTCTGTCTTATTGGGACACCATCAATGTTCATACTAAAAACATCTAAATGTCTGTCGTGAAAAAGGTCTCAGATGTGACACACACAAACTCCTGAATTCAGTGTCCATCATTCCTTTTTGAATTAAATGTGCATAAATAATCCTTACTTACTAATATATACAGTGTTTATTTTAAACTTTAAACAAAAAAACTGACCAAAATATTTCCCTCTTTCTATAGATCTAGAGGTCATTTACATATTATCTGCATTGTGCTTGCTCCTGACTGATGTTGATGTCATTGTCCATCTCTGCAGAAACAAAGAAAGTGTCCAATCTGCAGAGTCGTTATTAAGAAATGTTACTTTCCTGGTGTAAAACATCTTCATCCATCACCTGAATATAATGTTCCCCAAAATGAGCATTAGTGAATGTGAGTGGCTGCGAGCTGGCACCGTATTGAATCTTGTTTATGTAAGCAGAGCTTCTGACAGGTGAAGACACAGCTCGATGTGATTCCACGTCAACATCTCAGCCGGCATATGTGCTGAAGGGATAAAAATGAACCTAAAATAACATATCAACTATTTATCTACAGATAGATCCACCGTTACCTACGTCAACTGCTGTGTCACTCAGCTCTGGGCTATATTTAACAGCACATCCTATTCTATTTCTGGTGTTTTTAATGTCTTCTGTGTAAAAGAGACAAACACATGGGGCGTGAGGATCAGCTTCAAACACACACTCCTGATATTCTCATCTTAAAACAGGCTGGAAATGTTAAGGAGCAGTGTAGTCAGGAAACAGATTGACACTTACCCAGTTTATTTATAAAATCAAATGGTGTTCGACCTGGCTCAGTGAATTTCAAAATGCAGTGTGTAGGAAGAGATACAAAATAGTACAATAGTCAACCACCACTGACATTTCTTTACAGGAAGATCAAGATAACAACATCATCCACGTTTGAGCAAAGTATCTTTGAGGAGAAAATAGAAAACAAGTAAACTCCTTTCGACAACACTACCTGATAAAGGGGGCGGGAGTGTTATGGCTCCCGAAGGTCTGTGCCTAAAGTAGAGCGACCCAGTGAAACATATAGCAGACGATCAGCCACACCCCAGTCTCTCCGAACATCTGAACACCGAGACAACTCTAAAGTTAAAAAGGCACCACACAATACAAGTCACAAGGAGATTTTTGCCACACATTTGTAACGCTGTAACCGACAAACTTTAAGGCGAATGTCATGTGCAAAAAACATCTTGAATATGCGTCACACAGACTGCTCACTGTCCCACTGCTGAAGTGTGCTTTGATTCTTTTCCTTTACTGTTAACTTTGTTTAAAAAAATATTTGAAATGTGAGAAGATTTTAAAGAATGATTGCATTATCACTATGTTGCTTGGTATCACAGGCATATTCCAGGCTTCCAGGTGTGGCAAGTGAAAGCAGAGAAGAGTGGTGGGAGGAGGCCGCGGCGTGGATTTTAGTTCCTGTAGCTCTTACGTCCCTCTCCCTCCTTGAGAAAGGTCCATATGAGGGTGTTGACGATGTCGGGCTGGTCCTGCTGCAGCCAGTGACTGGCCCCGGAGATGATGTTAAGACGGAAATGGTTCCTGATGTAGAGGCGGCACGCCTCGGCCATTTCCTGCTCCAGAAAGGTGTCCCGCTCGCCCCACAGCAGCAGCACAGGAGACCTGACATGGTTCTGGCTCAGAGGGAGGGAGCTGTGGAGAGAGAGGAGGAAAGAACTTGACTTGTACATTTTGTTGATTGTGAGATTTTAAATAGGAATGTAGGGTTCACCTGAGATCAGAGAATCAAATTCTCTTGAAAGGCCCATGACTCAGGCTGTGGAACAAACACCAAACCAGCAGAACAGTGCCTCATTTTAAAAAGCAGTTAAAAGGTGTTTTTTAAAATAGTTTTAATGTTGTTCTTTTATGGTTCTTTAATCTTTTTTGTTTTACTGCATTACTGAGCATGATCTAGCTTTTCTATGACGCATCTTTGCACTTATATTTTATTTTGTGAAGCAACTTGCACAACTGGTCTGGAATGCACCATAGAATCATTTTATTTTAATTATAGTTATTATGAAGTAAAATTGCCACTGTGATATACATACTTTTCATATTTTGACTTCATTGTTTTCCACTATGACTTGCCATAGAGAAACTTTTCCATCAAAGATGTGTATCATAATGATGGAACAGATGGCGTCGCCCTGGTCACATTACTGTGCAGGAACGTTTTCTGCAGCCCAGAAACTGAACTGCTGTGGGGCTGGGTTCATGCTGCACACCCAGGGAGCTCTCACATGCCATCCTGGTTGTTTACAGCCCCCTCCTCCTCTTCTTTAAACCCAGCAACCACAATTGACATCATCAGCTCTGTTACCGTACGACTCCAGACTCTGCACCCCAGAGATTTTTTTCAGGCTCTAGGGGAGACTGCAGTGACGTACGTGACTTAAATGTTTCCATTCACTTATTGTACATTTATTGTTAATACTGTTTATTGGTTGTTCTTACTGTTCTTATCTTCTTGTCTATAATACAGTTCAATATAGATTGACACTACCTTCTCCACACCAAAGAGGTTATTGTGCATGAAAAAATAAAATAAAAAAAGTGATTCTGATTCTGTTACACTTGTGTCTCTGTTAATATAGAGGTGAGTGACATGCAACAATGGCTTCTGGATTTAAACCAGGCATGTTGTGGTTACACACACTCCTGTACAGAAGCATATTGAGTTCACATTCAAAAAACAAAAATCTGCCCTGGTTTCTCAAATAAACAAGATAGCCTCCCTCAAAATCCCCAAATATTCTCATATACAACATAGAGAGTAATAAAGCAAACATGTCCAGCCTGTGTAGTTGGATCCAGTTTTATTTTGGTTTGGGGTTGAGACACAGGGAGATACTTGTGTCTCTAATGATAATGTAATTTAGAACATGACGTCATACAGCACCGTTTCTGAACGCATTAGAATTCATTACAATTTAGTTCTAGAGACAGGTGGCTGGAAATGTACCTTGTCTCTCTGCTCTTCAGCTTATATGCATTCTTAGATACTGGTTTAAAAAAAAAAAATGTT